CTTAGCCTAGTAATTCACACCGCCGATGTTATAGAATCTTAATAATCAGGTTTATTGAAAAAAAAAAAAAAAAATTATTGTCAAGCTCTCCAGGTATAAAGAGTTTTAAAAAAAAATCTAAAATAATTAGAAAAATTTCAGAGGAATGAGGGCTACAATTTTAGTCGACCCGGGAAAATAAGCAAGCTTTAAATAAAATCTCCGTAAATTTATGTCAGTCGCAGCTAAGTTCAGCAATAGAAAGTAACTAAAAACTTCACGTTTTCCTTTCAAACTCTACTGCATAATATTATTTTCTTTAATATCGTCAGTAGTTCAGGATGTTTTTTCAAAGCCATTAGGCATTACTTCAGCTGGGTTTTGTTGGACTTGATTGGTTTATTCAAACAGGTTTATTAATGGGCCATTCGCCACTGCTGAATCCAGTTCAGTACAAATTGACGCTAGTTTCTCTTTAGAGATCCTTATGCACAAGTTTATTTACCTGTTTATTAGGTATTCCAATCAGGTGATCGTATTGTTTTTGTTTAATTTACGAAAAAGTACGTCCAAGCCGCAAGCCTGCGGAAAATCATCCACTCTATAGGCCATACGACAATAGCCTACTCCGTAAATATCCATGTATCTGACTTGCTAAACAATAGTCTGTTACATTTGGATAACTTTTATTATGAAATACATGAATACTGGTGTTTTTTCGAAGCCATTTGTAGACGCAATACAGGTCATCAGAGCCTATCACCTTTTCATGCCCTTATCGCCAAAATGCTCGCTTAATACATGTCAATTCGTTCTGCATAATTTCAACAACTTTACTCACGTAAGATGTTGATGTTGTTCTTCTTGAGACAATGACACTGCGGTAGCGCCGCCTAAGATTTTTAGTCTAAACGTTTTCCCGTCGAGGCGTATTTATGTGCCCCTGTCGACTATAGGTTTCTAATCCATTATATATAGGAAAAAAAGCTCAAAAAAAATCTCAGAGACAAAAGATATTGACTTTTAATGACAAGCAGCCTGTTATCTGCCACAATATTTAGCTTTAAAAAGAATATCTGCTGACATTCCTCGCTATTATCGAGCCGATCCATACAAACAGATGGCTTGAAAGCGACGGCGTTTACTTCTATCATTTATCACATAAGTTTCATTAGTCGTTGGCATCTACCGAATCCATTTAATGTAGTAAATTTTCTTATCAAGACCGACCTACGCTTGTGGACTTTTCATTCGTTGACGCTAGACTCTATTCAGCAAAGTTACCTCCTTCGTACTAGGTAAACAGTATAATTCTTAATTACCTGTCTATAGAGTTTCTGTTTTTGGCAGTGCTATTGCCCAGGTCACTGTTTCTGTCTCTCAGAGACACAGCTTCTTATTTGGCTATAGACTTGTATTTGCCGTTTCCGGAACGATAGCCTCCTGCTACAGATGAAAGTGACTAATGGCAACCTAACGATGTTGGTCGAGATTTTTCGATAACGATTTCCGCTAAAAGCAAAAATCTTATTTATCGAGCAAAACGACTAAGTAAGATAGTCGACTACCAAATTTAAGTCTTGCTTGAAGATTTTTTTGATGGGCAACTTGCCCCTTCTTTCTATTCGCATTAATCTCTTCGCACACGTCAAACATATTTTCCAATAGCTCGTTTCATTTTACTACTGCCTGATGCATTGTTACGCAGAGCTTGGCGAGTCGGGATGACGTCTTATTAGTTCTATTAATTAAAGCCACATAATATGGGAGGATAGTTTCGCTATTTATAAGCACTTATAGACGAATGATACCAGGGTAAAATTTTCAGGTGCCACACGTATTGCAGAAAAGGGCATAAGGTAAGCGTCGCGGTGCCTAGCTGCCCTGCACAAAGCTTTGTCATTTATATATTAGTCAAGTAGCAGCACGTGTGAAGTTAATATAGTAAACCCAACATAGAAAAATTATAACTTCTAAGTTTGCTTTTTCGCCGGGATTTGATATGTTATGTAAGAGATAAGGGAAGCTAGACCACTAAATGTGCGATGAATAGAGATTTCTGTCATGTTTACAATGTAGGAAATCGAATACGATTTTAGAAATAACACATTTTAGGACTGGTGTGAACTTCTTGTTTGCAGTCTTCCCGGTTCGAGAGTGCATCATCGTTACCCGCGGTGGTCTTGTGCCCTTGGTATCGTTAAGTATTACGTATCTCTTAAAAGTAGATCTAGAGTTGAAGCTCGACTGGAGAAGAAGAAAGGCTGAAGGTTGAAAAAATGCTTCAAGCAGTGACGTGTTTGCTACTAGCCGAAGGAACACGGAGGGAGATTAACCGAACTTCAGCGTGCGGACCCTCCAAACAATTCGTCAATCAAAGCCCTACCTCGCAGCCCCAAACGACGGCACCGAGGTCTGCCATAAAAGGCAAAGCAAAAAAAAATCAGCAATTAAGTGGAATAAAATGAGTTTTAAACCACTTATGATCATCCGAACTGCTTTGAATAACTAATATTGTATAAGAATAATAACAATAACAAGCACATTCTGAAAATTTCTGTCGACACAAAGTCTCTATATTCTGGTCTGGCTGTTAATTAGCTAATTTGGGTACTTCCATTTATTATTAATCTGCGCAAGGATCGATTCAAGTCTCACTAGGGAATTTTCATCGTTGGATCATATATTAGTTGTATCTGTTTCAAATGTAGTAGATTTAGACTGACAGGCGACGACCTAAGCAATAGGGAAATCATTTTGAAATAGGGAACAAAACGTTGCAAAGAATTCATGAATATGGGCCGCCGTATATATTCTCTGGTAGACGTCATACTTATTATAGTTTCAGGATATTCAATTATCCCTGAAGTGCTATGTCATATTCTATTCATTTTTGGGGTAACTGGTTCTGTTCCTCCTTAATTCTCTACGTTAATTTGACCTATTCTCGATGGTAAATGAGGTGTTTTAAGTGAAAATTTTACTTTACTATGCCAGCGTATTTTTTTTGATAAATATATTCCATTTACTTACAACCCAAACTTTTCAAGTTTGCGTTTGAAACTTCACGGTAGTACCAGTCATGTATACACGTAAACCCTATCGGATATAGTTAGGATTTGATGAGCTCAAGGGAAATCTTTTAAGCAACCTGCATTATTTGTTGTTTCGTTGGATATATAGTTAGCTTCGGACGCATCTTTCTAACAAGCAGAAAAATCCGCAAGCTTCTGGATTTTCGTTCTGCCTCTTTATTTTCGAACACGCGTTATTACCTAAATATGTTGTTACACAACAAATGCGACAAACTGCAAAAATTGAAAAAAGCCTTGTTTGTATCAATATAAGTGCGGATGATATTTTGGGAGGGTTATACGCATCCGCGTTTGAATATCGAGTCATTTGTCAACCTGTTATGTAGTCGGTGGATTTTACCGTGCCCTGCTACTACGATGTCTGCCACAGTTGCCATATAACGACTTCCTATCCTCGTATTTGCCACTTTTAGTAACCCACCATTAATAATTTTTATCGCGAAACACCAGTGTATGGCTGAATATTTTCAGCAGTTAAATGTACATAAAATGCGCAGTTTATATAGTTAGCTCGATCAGTACAAATTTCCAAAACATGCAAGAAACTCAATATCGAGCTTCCGTAATAAAAGCTTAAGTACCTTAAGTATAAAGATTTCGACTCATTCCATTTTGAGGTTTATTAGTAACTTTATATCTGCAGGCTTCACCCGACACTCGTCAGTTGTTTCTAGCTAATGGTTTAGCGCTGATGCAGAAATAAGCGTTGTCTATACACGATCTATTCAAAACATTAAAGTTGTTTTCGGCCGAAGTTGGATCGTGCGATTTTGTCCGTCGACGCGAAGGTAAAGCTCCCGCGAAAGACAAACGTAGCATCAGGCTAAATATAAAACAGCAGACGTTCCCCAATGGCTGCAGTACACTAGGGAGCTGTCGCAGACAACGTTTCACTTCTCTATTGCGGCCTAGTGGAGGTGAAAAAAGGACGAGATTACTGCGGGCATTAGCGATTGGTGATGATGACCTTACACGCTGTTTTGGGTTGAAAGGTCGTAAGCGTGAACCATGCCCAGGTAAACAACAGAAGTTTGAAATGTTAGCGATCTGGGTGAACGGAAAACATTAAATAAGAACGTCCGCTCGTACCGTGAATAGATGCACGAGTTTGCATAGTGTATACATACCTGTTTCTATGGTAGCCTAATCGGCTGTTAATCTTAGGGAAACGCTATGGCTTCCTGCTGGGAACCCGTCATCTAACAGTGATACCCGACGTCAAACTCCGAATAGATACCCAGACGTACTTTCATCTAATACATCTGTTCATAAACTTTAATTGAATATGATTACGGTTTGACGACAACTGTGTCACACGGCCGTGTAGTTCTATACATAGCTTTGTTTCTAATAACTCGCAAAGGGTTCACTAGCTTAATGTCTTGTATTGTAATATCTAGCGGCCTTTTTAGTTAGCAAAGCACTGTCTAGTATTATCGGTTACGATGTCAATCATTCTGGTCTAAGTTGTTGAGAAATACGTATTTTCAGAGACAAGTTCTCACATAAGATTATGTGCTTTTTCTGTAGCTCGTTGTTAGCACTGCTATTAAGCAAAGCTTTTTTTTTTTTTTTTTTCTAAATTCATAACTCGAACCCTTAATATTACGCAGTAACATCTCATGATTGCCATCTAAGTTGAACGGATTTCAAGGAACGTCGTCTTCTAGAAAGTACCAAAGAACCCGCTGCCCACACGGCTGGTTGCATACATCACTCTCCCACTGCGTCGCGGGAGACATGGCCAGCTGTGGTTACCTACCTTAAGCGCCCCACGTATTTGCCGAGTCATTGCATTATTTGAAATGAACCGGGCACACATCAACGAACTCTTACCCTTTACACCTTATATTCCGGAAGAATATGTTTGGATTCGCACCTAGATTTTCTAATTGTGTAGCACTATACAATGATGGTATGACCGCTAATGCACGATACGAGTCTCATCTCAAGTTAATCCTGCTACTTTGTCAAATACTTGTACAGAGTTTAACGTCATCTCGCAAGTATTCAGCCTTTTCAACTCATTCATTCCATTCTTCACGGCCCGCTGTCTCCTGTTTACAACGATGTCAAGAACTCCCAGGCTGAGAGTGCGAACGAAAGTTGAGAGTGGACTAAATGGGGATAAAATAGCGAAAGTACAGCAGAAGTTCCAGCTATAACTAACGTAAGGCATTTAGGAACTAGGGCAGAATTGTTTCTGCTGGAATAGAATCCACTCGCTCTAATGTATTTGTATGGTAGCGCGTATGCCAAAGTGGCGGGTCTAAACTACAATTAATAAACGTTAAACTTTGTATTCTACGAAATGTTACGCCGACCCAGGACAACAGGTCAGTAGTCACAAAATAGCCCATCTACAAACCACTTATTATCGCTTGCGGCATTCTGAAGAATCGCTGCTATTACGCCATGTTGTAGAAAAATAACCACCTAATTCTCATAGTTTAGGGTTACTGCTCGGTAATCAGTAAAAAATGAAATCAGTCCTGCATAATCTACACATCGACTGAGCTCACAACAAATATAGGCAATAAGTCGGATGAAATTATCTTGTTTTAGCGGCAGCGATCCTTTTCGAATTTATTCAACTTGGCTCAAAGGCGGAAGTTGCGGCACGATTAGGTAATAGTTACCTAATATAGTTCGAATTAAGGAAAAGGTGACATCATCGATTATATAGAGCATTTTTTTTCACACAGTGATTTGTCTCTACAACACGCCGTAGAATTCAGGTGTATTAGAGGTCAATTGAGTCGAAGTGTTGCTACTCGAGAATATGTGTACCTGTCGGGTTAGGGCGAGTTAATGGCCACGAGTTTAATTAGAGGCGAACTCGATAATCACAATACTATCGGCTAAATTGGGGGTTGAGAGCGTAAAAACAGTGGTTTATTAACAAATTCGAACTAACTTATTCTATCGACAACAATGTTCATTAAATGCACACATTTCAGGCACATAAATCAATGTTAAACTGTTTTGCTCCAAGCCCATTTTCCCCCTCTACTGTACACAATCTAATTGTACAATAATAACCGTAGACCCAAAAGTTTTATAGCACATCAGTGGGTCCGAAAAGGCTGCCTTTGCCAGCGACAGGCGTCTGAATTAATGACGCCATGGTGCTCGCCACGTAAATACGGATCATCTAAGGCAAAAACCGCGAACACGTTCCTCACAGAGAGGTCTTTTTCAAATCGGCACAGGTGACAACAATGGCCTGCTGTGTATGCGGGAGAGCACTGTAGTATTTAGAAGTGTCTAAAGACGTAGGTCGAAATATGCATTTGTAGGTGCGTCATATAAACGAATAATGAAATCGAGCTAATTTTTTTTAAACTAGTTTAGCTAAAATATTGAAAAACATTTTGCATAGGTATATTAACGGTGAGTGTTATACAGCAGATTTGGAAGGTAGCCAAAGAATATAGCCCTTTACTAGATACTAGATCGGCTTTCAATGTCACTGTTGCCTTGCGGAAAATCTAGTTGAGGACCTTTAATGATAAATTACTCGTTATACACCGTAGTTAGAAGATGATCATACGATCTAGTCTTGTCGAGTAGCTTCGACGCCCTTTCGTCACCTTTTCGACAGGATTGACCATCAGGTAATACATACCCGAATCAAAATGAGCCAAACGCTCGTTTGAAGTATATTGATTGCATGATGCACGCATAGCTACACGGCGCAAGCGTAATATATAACTGGAATAGAACTTGATATTATCGCCGTCCTGCACTAGCGCTACTGTGAGACCCGGCTTACTAAAGCTCATACAGACTTTCGCGTTAGTTAATCCCCTGTGTTTTCTCGATACTTAAGATCTAACCCTAAGACCATACGATTATTTTTGAGGAATGAAATGTGTACTTGTTACACGATACGCTTGCGTCGTGGGGCTCAAATATATAGGGACGTAATAAAAAAGTTACGATTAAGCTAGTAATGACTGTGATACCGACAAAAACAAATTTGCTCCGAACTCCACTACTCATTGTTTCGAATTATATTTTTTACTTCTGCACTTCAGGCAAGATTTTTTATGCATACGCTTCGGCGACTACACACCTAGCCGCTATGCTTTCCAGACGTATCATTTGACGCTCGTCGCAAGGTTAGAGCAGAGGATGCAACAAGCCGGACCCTCTCTCTGCATAAGATGATCGAATAGGCGTTCTCCTTCTCTACATGCTTCGTACTTGTCAAAACATAAGCAACCTTTGAACAAAAAGCAGTTCCTGAATTTCAAAGTAACTTATACATATAAGTGTTTTCAGAAGTTGATTTTGTTAATCTTCTAGCTAGTTAATAGTACTATCTCGATTCCTCGACAAGTCTTAGCGTCAAGCGAGCGCATGTGTCTGGAATATTACGCAGAAATAAAACGTTGTTTGCCAGTACTACTCGTATTGGGCAAACGCTCATGATATAGTAGTTTTCTAGCTTGTTAGTACAAAACATTACCTGTATGGCAAACCTTGCTACTTATTTTCCTCGTACCGGCTTAAGTTAAGCGTTCTGAATACAACGAAAAGTTGTTACATGTTAACGTTTGCTATTTTCTTTAGACTCGAGCTCGAACAAAACGAGACTAGCACGTTTTCTAAAATCTATGCTGCTATTGGAAATTGGGAGCTGCGTCAATTTGTTACGTAAAACCATGATTTAGGAAATTTCGCGCAAAATCTCTTAAGGCAGAGATGCCCCTGGGTTAGACTGACGATAACAACAACAACAACAACAACAACAACGACCGTAGCCAAGCACTGAACCAGTTTTTCTCCAGGACAATGATCCTTTCCTCAATGCAAGCCAAATCGAGAAGAAGATAAGTTAAGAGCATCGTAGAGGTAAAAGCGCAAATAGAAGCTCCCAAAGCAAGCTAAAAAGGCAAGGCCCAGTTAAATTCGGATGTTGTTCCACCTTCTATGGCCAAAAGCCTAGTATCCACTGAGAAGCCACGACAGAAGAACACCAGCTAATCCATTGCCGAATAGATTTAGGTCCCAACATGGTTCCACTGCGACCAAGAAAAAGTGTTAGGGGAAATCGTGCTGTACGTGCGGCACCATCTGACACGGCCAGTAACTACCAAGTGAGCAAAACATGTACGCCAGTAAGAAGGGCATCATGCCAACTACACAGCTTGTTCGGTATACCGCAAGAAACTAGCAATAATAAAGGAGGGTGGAACAGTGGGGCCTAAACAAAAGACCAAGGAGGCAAGCCCCACCAATGAGAATGAAAAGAAAAAGCAGGAGAGGAAAGCGATTAAGGTATTGGAGAACAGACACAACGTATTCATCATGCTAGGATCCAACCGACAGCCAAAATATGATTAAAGTATTACATGAAATCCGTATCCTTACAGGATAGTCCATGACTCGCTACTATAGACTAAACAAATCTGTAAATTGGGCCAATCGTCTCCATAACCAGAGAATCAACTCACTGGCTAATAGATAACGAATCTGATATAAAATTAGCGGACAGTGTTCGATTACCCCATAACGATTAGAGGTAACGGTGAGTAGAGTTGTGTAGACATGCTACCTCTCGACAAAACAAGCTGAAAGGAAAATTTTTTATAATGTTTAACATAATTGACATAATCTTGTTAGAATGATATGGCATTTATAGAATTTATCTAAAAACATGTCTAACAATTTAAGAATAGCTAACAAAAAGGAATCTCAAGGCCTGATATTTTTACCGGATGTAATAGAACTTCATAGATTTCATAACCTCAAACGCCAAATCCCAGTCTATTACTGAGCGATAGCACTAGCGATGGTACTTGATGAGAAGCTCAGTTGATAAATGCTCTTACAGCCCAGAATAGCGAACATTTCCAGCTTTCTTTTCCTAGAAAGTGATAATGGATGTGCAAGTTCGATCACACACAACATAAGGAAACAGCCAGGGAAAGTAGACCACAGGCTGGAAAGACAAATGGGGCAAGTCCTTGTCAGAGTTCGTAAAAAAGCGTCGTCACCGTACAAGTCTAGGGAAGACTGGTGGAATAATGAATTCGTAGAAGCTCGTTATGAGTGCAAGGCCTACATCGGATAGCATTCAGAACACGAAGCCGGTACTAGACTGGATCACGGTGAACGGCAGAAAAACACAGGGGAAATCTAAACTTACCTACCAACGGTTTAAGGTCCTTATTAGACGAAGTAAAGCTGGCAGAAGTGGAGGGTAGAGACAAATAAAGTCGTAAATCATACCAGATTGATATGAATTGAAACAGTCAGCTCTGCGGCTTTTTAATTGATATTGTGGAGGAAATCTTTTCCCCTCGCAACTGCTGCGAAACCCCAATGCAACATCAACAAGAGGTGAAGTATCAGAGGTTGTAGTAGAAACAGAGACAATAGAACGCCATAAAAATCAGAAGAAGATAGCGCAGGCAGAATCTTTTGCTGGAATCAGACGGGGTGCTCAAAACGTAGCTACTGATAGCGATGACCAGAGATTTTGTTATCAGATTCTCCCTAGGAGGGAGATTCTCTAGGGAGTAAGAAGAGGCCGACTTAGTACATAAGCCAGGGAAGAGAGCAGGCTTGTTGGTTTATTGACCCATGCAGCCTGCCTCACATAATAGCGAACATGATTACTAAAAAGCTATAATAAGATAAGATACGCATTATCCGACGCATAGTATAGTCTCCGCAAAAATCCCGGAAACGGTGTCCGCGATCAGAAGTGTCTGAAATGTCTAGACAAAATGCAAACTACCAAGACAAAAGGCGTAAAAAAAAAAAGCTTACTGTAAGTGTTTTTTCCTAAGTAGTGCTCATTGATGTTTTCGCGTAGAATACCCCATGCACAACCAACTGCGATTTGACGATGTAGGCGCTTAAAAGTTTCTCATTACGTTTTAAAAGACCCAATCTTCTCATATTTGAAAGATTTTTTTAGACAAAGCGAATCCTTTTGTTTTTGTATCTGGTCTACCCTTCTTCTATTTGTAGTTTCCAACGGACCAACCTCACAATTCTTAACACTGCTTCCTATGAAACAGTTCTGAATACTCTAGCTGCTCCTAGCGCAGTTTGCCTTTGGTGCTATAGGTTTTGTGGAGGTTCCTCTGTTATGGGGCACTTAATACTGATGTAACGTACAGGACGATGAAGTCTACCTCGGGGGGGTAGCATTTTTCTGGTTCCTGTGCCAGAGCTATATGTTTTCATATTTTTAGCTAGGTTGTAGATTGATTTTGCTGCTTTGGTCTTTGTATGGTTGAAGTAGTACTCAACGATGTTTCGTGTATGACGATTCCTTTTGAAGCAAAATCCTGTGGCCATATGCGGACCTTGGTGTTTATGCATTTTCTTCTGCCATTCAGAACAAGTTCGGTCATCTTGGGAGCCTTAGAGAATAGCGCATCGTTTTCTTCCACTACTTACGTTTGAAACCGATCTTCTCAACTAAGCAGTATTTTTCTCGTTCTGCTGTCTTACAGAATTCATTTTCCGCCAGGTGCCATGAGGTTTTAACGTCCTTGCCATTGCGCTCATATTTCGAGGCCTCATGAGGTGTACTTTAGTGGAAAGTCTTGATCCAGGATGGCGGCTTCGGCTGAAAGGTAATGAAAGGTCGCAGGAACGATTCATTAAAATGCCGCGAACTTTCTCAACTGTATTTACCTAATCGGCATTAGTGTGCCTATTGGTACGGCAATAGCTAGTATTAAGGTTTGTCGGTGGAATGTGGCAGCCCTCGTTGACTATGTATTATTAAGGTAAGGTGAGAGGGCATCCAATCTTCAGCTAATTTTCCTTTTGTTCATTATATGTTTTCTTTAAGTAAGTATTTTTTCTTAAGTAAGTGCACATTGATGTCTTCGCGTAGAATATTTTCCCTCACAGCTAATGATTCTAGTTCGGAAAGATTTAACTGAAATTACTCTGTTGAACATTTTTGAGAGATATTCGAGTGAAAAAACGTTGTCAAAAAGCGTCGAACTTACCTATTCTATTAGTTATCCTAAATCAATTTCATATGCCATGAGCATCTGTGCTTCTATTTAGGTTGCATTACAAAAACCTAATGATTTTGTTGACCTTTAATCACAATAGTAAGTTCGCTTTTGCTGCCGTTGCACCGAAGAGTTAATTGCCCAGTGATCATATTTTACGCAGTTCAAGCATACACTGCTGTTCATTGATGCTGCACAATACTTATCCGATCTTCAATTTTTACCTAATGATATTGGTACGTTTTATTTGTGCTTGTAAACCGTTTCTTTTTCTCATGTCCTGTATTTCGTCGACAGCCACTTTGAGACCAGCTGGTTAAAGCCTCTAAATCAGCCTTTTTTTTTGCAAAACACAGTGGCTACTACTTTCGTTCGTTGAGTTTCTAATCGCGTTTATTTTTTATTCATTTATTTATTTTTCTTTACTATTATTTGTTTATTTATTTTGCTTCCTTAATTTATAAGTGGACCTTAGCGTCTCGCAATGTGGAAGTTTTCTTACTTCAATGCCATAGTCTGTGGGCAGATTGTGGCTTTCACGTTTCATAGGACCTGTGCGTACGATTGTCACTCGCCATCTACAATTATTACGGCCAATCTACCTTTTTTATTTTTATTTTGTTTTTTGGGTGGTGACTTGATTTTTTTTTTGTATTGAGCTTAATGTCCATGTTCTCTAAATATACCACACACACACACGCACACAGCAGATGGCTATTTTTCGGTAATCTGGGTTATCCTATATATACGTAGGTTATACGAGACGTACTCTTCAAAGACACGGCTTATATCGATAATGCGATGGACAAGGCTATAAGGAGCGCCGTTAACCCAGCCAAACACATGCCCAGGGTAGGAAAAATAACAGAAAAAGCGGAACAGGGAGGCAGAGTCGACAGCATTATATGTAGCTCGAGCCTAGTCTGGCGCAGTAGTTGGTAAGCAAAGTGACAAAAAAACATCGCTACTCGCACAAAAAGCGGTTACCATCCGAGAAGCGCGAGCGCACGGTGCAGTGTCTATAAGAGCAACTCTTGTGCTAGCTGAGATATTATCGTGAAGCTATTCAATCCGTGACAATCCAGAGCTCATGCCATCTCAGACTGCTATTCTTCGGAAATAGTAGAAGCAATGCGCACGACATGGATTAAGGGACAGGCCAGGGTCTTGGACTTGGTACTTTGTCGTAGATCTGCGATTCTGGTACAATATTGCGATACAAAAAACTAGCATACAGGTATTAGCTGGTCACAGTCAATTTCAAACACACGTGCTCGAAATAGGACAACCACAGGTGTTCTATGCGAGTTGGGGAAAACGGGTGGAGTCGAAGAAGCATTCTTACAATGTACAGCTCTGCGAGACACACGAGAAAGGCCACAGAAGGGAACAGTCATAGAGGTGGCTAAAAATATGGTGAGAACAGGGTGGATAATAGGTTTAGCTTTTCTTAAAAAATCATGAACAACAAAGAAGGATTGGAAAAAGAACGTAGAAGAATGCTAGCTGAAATTAAGGCTGATGTGAAAGAATAGATTGCTGGCAGCCTGTTCCTTCAAAGATTTAGAAAAAATGCGAGCAGCGATGGCGGGTATTTACAGGGAGTCAGAGCGAAGTATGCTGGTTCAGCGAATATTAGCTTACTCGGCGGCTAGGGTTTTAGGTCTCAAGAGGATCGTGAAGTGAATCCTACCCTTAGGCCTTTGTCATGAACTACTAGGGGAATAGCTCCGAGTGTCTCAATCAAGTATTAACCCATACCTCCTATAAAAAAGACGTTACATGACCCGCCTGAGTTGGCTTTAAAAGTAACTTAATCATTTAATATAGTACCATTTAGTTAAACAGAACTAGTTTTATTTCTGCCCACTACGTTGGTACTAGCTCAAGAGGCTATAACATACATGTGGGCGAGAGAATCAGTGTTTCCTACCGCAATCGAAAGGGCTAATCGATGAAAACAAACTGCTGTTTAAAAAATGTATGGTTTGTCAAAGACAAGTCAAGCATAAACAAAAAGTAATTTAGGGCGGCTTTTAGAGCGAAAGACGAAGGCCAGTAACAGATATTCTATCCGCAATTTTATACAAGCGCCTGGGTTGCGCTTTACAAGCCTCTAATTTTCATGCGGTTTCTGTGGGAGACATATTTGTTTCCAACTTCTGACGTGTCGCTATGCGCCTATAGCAGAAGTAGAGCATTTCTACTAACGCAGTGTCACTTAAGATTGCTTGTGAACTGTTAGGTAGTGTCATTCAGTAAACTTCGAAAGTTTTATAAATGGTCGACAGTAGCGAATAGGGTGCGAATATGGATGGCTTTGTATCAAAATAGTCTGAGATAC